CTGGAAAGGATGTGTCACAGGTTAGGCTTGTTAAAGATAGGAATGGTAATGGTCTAACAAGTGAGGAGAGCGTGACGGGAAGATGGAAGGAGTACTTTGAGGAGCTAATGAATGAAGAGAATGAAAGAGAAAGAACAGTAGAGGTCATAGAAACTGTCGACCAGGAAGTGGGAAAGATTAGTGAGGGTGAAATCCAGAAAGCTCTCAAACGAATGAAGAAGGTGAAGGCAGTAGGTCCTGATGGCATACCAGTGGAGGTTTTGAAATGTCTTGGAGAGATGCAATGAGGTTTTTGACTCAAATATTCAATGGCATATTTGAGGGTGAGAAAATGCCTGAGGAATGGAGTTCAAGTGTGCTGGTGTCCATATTTAAGAACAAGGGTGATGTACAGAGTTGTATCTACTACAGGGGAATTAAGTTGATGAGCCACACAATGAAGATCTGGGAGAGAATTGTGGAAGCTAGACTTAGACAAGAGGTGACAGTTTGTGAGCAGCAGTATGGTTTCATGCCAAGAAAGAGCATCACAGATGTCATCTTTGCTTTGAGGATGCTGATGGAGAAGTACAGAGAGGGTCAGAAACAACTCCATTGTTTCTTTGTGGATTTTGAAAAAAGCACATGACAGGGTGCTGAGGGAGGAGGTCTGGTATTGCATGAGGGAATCTGGAGTGGCAGAAAAGTGTGTAAGACTGGTATCCCCTGACCATTGCAAATGCTTCTGACACCAATGGGAGGCCATCTGGGAGCTCTACATTTGTGTGTGTGTGTGTGTGTTGGGGGGGGGGGGGGCATAATCAAGCAACTGGTGACCTTTAGCAACTGTATTTCATTTCAATCCATCCATTATCTTTTACCCGCTTCTTCCTTTTTGGGTCGCTGGGGTCACTGGTGCCCATGTCCAGCTATTACTGTGCGAGAGGTGGGGGACACACCCTGGACAGGTCACAAGTCCATCCACTGATTTGGAAGCAGGGAAGCCGACTCAAGACCCGAAGGTCCTGGGTTCAATCCCCAGTCATTACACACCTTGTGGTGTCTCTGAGCAGGACGCCTCATTCCCAGTCGCTCCCCGGGCTCTTCCAATAGCTACCCACTGCTCCACCTGGTGGTGGATGGGTTAAATGCAGAGAACCAATTTCACCATTTTATGGGAACATAATGATGACAATACATACACATTATTATTATTATTATTTTAATGAGGAGGCTGAATAGGTGTTGCAACAATTATATGTGAGAGGCCGTGTCCCCCGCACATTTAAAAATATTCATCACTCCAAATCCTTTACGAGTAATTGTATCGATCACCAGGTATTTGATCTTTTCAGTCCCTCTCTCTCTCTCTTTTATTTATTTATTTTGTTCTGTGTGTGTGATGTCATGGCAGAAATGTCCTTTCTGTTCTGTTTATTTTGATCCATTTATCTGAAACATGTTTTCCACCAAGTTTGTGGAAATTCAGCTGTGGGGGTTTAAAGATATTTCAACTTTGCCTGGTGTGCTGGCAGGTGTCACAAATGTTGTGCCGCATTCTCTAAAATAGTTAGTGAATCAAGTGTTTACTTATGTAGATGTTTAACAACCTGTTAAAATACATGAAAATGCAGGAAATGGTATTTAATTCAGTTCAATTCAGTTTATTTATATTGCGTCAAGTCACAACAGAAGTCGTCTCAGGGCACTAAACAGAAACATTCCCCCCACTAGTGTGCCATTTCAAATGCTTCTGATGCCAATGGAAGGCCATCTGGGAGCCTTACATTCCAGGGGTGGCACACCATAATCAAGCAACTGGAGACTTTAGCAACTGTATCATTTCACTTCCATCCATCCATCCATCCATCCATCCATCATCTTTTAGCCGCTTCTTCCTTTTCGAATCAGGGGGGTCACTGGCGCCCATGTCCAGCTATCACTGTGCGAGAGGCGGGGGACACACCCTGGACAGGTCGCAAGTCCATCACAGGGACTCGTAGAGACAAACGAGACAAACAACCATTCACTCTGTCACTCACACCTAGGGACAATTTAGAGTTACCAATCAGCCTAACATGCATTTTTAATAAACTTAAAATACATAAACTTAAATGCAGATGTGGCAGACAAATGTTTCCCACCTTGTGGCCTGAAGACGATCTGCACAATTACAGCTTTTGTCACATGCTTCAGCATAAATCAGCTGAAAAAAACAAAACAAAACTTGTATTTGCTGTAAAACAGTTTGAGGAGATAAAAGCTGAAACGGGCAGGATGCACTCACTCACTGCTCTGACATTACTCAGCACTACAAGACCTAACATTAGATAACATGTCATGTTTAGCTGGAGGTTTGTAAAAAACTGTTGTTTCTGTTCATTTGAAGGACACCATACTAAAGTTTTAGACGTGTACTTTTTAGGAATTGTTTTTAAGTCTTATTAAACTGTTCACTTATAGATATGGTAAACGAATGTAAGCAAAGGATAGAATCAAACTCAGATAAAATGCTCTCAGCTTGTGTTGCTGTTATGTTGCTGATATGATAATGATCACAATTACAGCGTTATTGCTTCCTCCTGTCTGATGACCTACAGTAATTAGAGCAATGTGCTCCTGCAGGCTGTCAGGGACCGGTCAGCCACATGCCCGGGAGGAACCTCCTGAACTGGCTTCCTGCATAATTTATTTATTTATTGCATCTCTGTGATGCAAATTAGATATATATGAGCATACACAGGGAACATAAAAATGTTTATATCACTGACTCATTAAACCTCTTCCTGAATTAAACTCCTTATGTTGCAATGTTGTGGTAAAGCAAATAACCTGTTTCATTGTAGTGATGCAATACACATTATCTTGTCCAAGTTTAAAACTTGCAGTTGTACTGGGAATAAGTTAAAACAGAAGTCATATTTAAGTGGAGCACTATTTCGACAAAATTCAACGCAAATTATTTCCCCATAGTTCCAGATCCATCAGGAGCTTTACATTATTGTGCTGAGGTGCACGTATACGTTCTGCACAAATATCCAACAGGATAGAGCTGAGTATGAATATACGTCTTTGACAGCTGAGGTTTTTCTGTGTTCACGAGTAAAATAGTTGTCGGCTAAGAAGGTGAATTCTTCTTGCTTCATTCAGGGCCACTAAGGTTAAAACTGTCACTGGTGCAGACTTGCTGACCTGACAGAGTCTTTTCTGCATCCCTGATCTGCCGGCTTCCTGTTCGTCTGTCAATGTCAGTTGGGTAATCTGCAGAGGTAGCTGGCCTGCAAACACCAGAGTCATAGTGATGAGCTCTTCAAGAAGTGGGAACGCTGAGATAATGCTTCACCGCCATGAAAAGACATGTCGGCATGCAGGAACTGTTTGTTGGAGCCAAAGTCAAAGTTCAGTGATGAGTGGATACTGGTTCGTATGGTTTTTTTAAAGGTATACATTCTTAGTGTTTAGTGTACCATTAAGGGAAGAGATGTGGACCTTATATTCATTCTAGCTTTGTTCGTGCTAAAGAGGGGAGTGGTGAGTGAGGAGGGGTGGTCCGCTTTAGGTTCAAACAATAGAGACACATGGCAGGGTGGAAACATGCAGAGAGGTGTGTGTGTGTGTGATGTAGTGGACACGCTTTTTGACAGCTGCTACACCATGTTTGCACACAAGCACAAAAGAGTGAAATCCCTCAATATTAATGAAGCAACGTGAACGTGCTTAAAGGGATGGTTCAAACCTTTTGAATTAAAGAATCTTCTTCTTTCAGCTTTTCCCTCAGAGGTTGCCACAGCGAGTCATGAACTCAAATGTTAGTTTTGGCAAAAGTGTTGCATGTCGGATGTCCTTCCTGACACAAACCCTTGCTGTTTACCTGGGCTTGGTACCAGCATAAGAGTTACACTGGCTTGTGCTCTCTAGTGCTGGTTTCTTTTGAATTAAAGAATGGTTATGAAAAATTCAAATCGTACACAAAGGTCTGAACTGACAAGGTGTCCGAGCAGGGCCATTATAGTAAAGTGGACTCCTGCTGCCTTTAAATAACTCCAGTCTTTAAAATGTAAAAGTGTTCCATATAAATTATTTTTACACGTCTGTTTTTTTTATTTTTAATTAGACTGGTATGTCTCATTTTTTCCACTTATAAATAATAATTAATTTAAATGGAAATAACCTTCTAAGGCAAAATTATCAGGAATATAAAATGATTATCGCATAAAAAAGAGACTTGTTTTAAGATATCACTTTAAAAAATGTCTAAAACAATTTAGATGTTCAAAAAGATTAAGTTAGGACAGTATGGTGCCACGTGAAGGATGTCTAATACTTTTTTGTTGTCACTTAGGAGATTGTGCATTCCCAAGTTGTTGTTTTTTTTGTAGTTAATTTATTTTTTAAATAAACGGCATATATTAAGATTTTTTTCTTATAATTTCAGCACTCTTTATTATTTTTTCCTTTTCATGAATTTGTTTTGTTTATTTTAAATGAATAAATGAATGAATAAATAAAAATATGACATGATTACATTTTAATTAATCCTCTGCTCATTCTAGCTCATTAGTTTCAACTCCTTTTCTCCAAACTGAAGACATTCAGAACAATTTACAGCAGGTAAAATATTAATTATTCATAACAGAATCTCAACTATTCTGAGCTGTCCCTTTAAACATAAGACCTGAAATAATTAAGCATCATTTTGGTTATATGCAAGAGCATTTGCTCTTATAATGCAATTAGGTTTTAAATCAGAGTAAATATTTTTGAAGACAGTTGGGTGTTCATTTATTATTTGTGTTATTTATAAACAGTTTTCTACAGCATCGAATATAAAAACGTGTAATTTTAAAAGGCAAACGTTGATGCTGACAGGAAGCTTCAAGTTGCAAAGTCAAAAAACATAAATAAATAAAATAAGTTGCAAAGTCTGCTCCGCTGCGCCCTCTGGTGGACAAACGTCGACACTGCGCCTCTACATGTGAGCCCCCGGAGGGAGGGGCGGAGCACGAGCGCGCGTTGGAGAGTCAGTGAACGCCGCACTGTCGAGAAGGGGCGACTGTTTCTTGAAGCTCCCATCCGGGCGAGGGCCGCTGCAGCATCCGCAAAGAAGGAATACCGTTCTGAAAGGCTTGTTTGTGTTATTCAAGGTGGACTAAAGATGTCTTACCAAGGCAAAAAGAACATCCCAAAGATCACAGTAAGTTCAACCAATAATAATCTGGCTGCAGGAACTTTGATGAGCAAACATCACTGCGTTGTTTCAGTGTTTAGCTGCTGTGCGCATCAACCTCCAGCTCGGCTTGACCATTGTATAGCTTCTTTTTTTTATGATGAACGCGAGTGCAGGGAAAACTGTGCACAATGAAGCTGTGGCTGCCATAGTGACAGGCAGGCTGTGGGATAAGGCGTTTTCTTAAAGGTGTCCTGCATCTTTCTCTGTTGAGGGGATTTATTCCTCTTTACTGAGCCGGTAAAAAAATAAATAATTAATAAAATCTCTTTGGCGTTTTCCTGCATGGAGTTATTATATCTATATATGGAGTTTAAAAAAATAGACCCCTGCTTGTGTTATTTAGATTAAAAATGTCCCCTTAGAATAAAACATCTATGTAATGCTGCAGATGATAAATATGAAGCAGACTGGATTCTGGTTCACAAAAAGGTTTTCAACATTTGTTAGGAGCGCCATTTATTGATCCCTGTGTGGATGGGTGTGTTTTAGAGACACAGCTTAATGTAATTATATTGTGTTTTCTGTACATGAGTTAATTTCTTTCCACGTTTCTTTTTTTAATTTTTTTTATTCAATGTTAAAGAAAAAAAAAATCCCTATGGTGATTAGACAGAGAGGGTTTGTGTTGCAGACTGATGCTGCAGGGAGCAGCACAGCAGAGGAGGAGGAGGAGGGGGGCTTTGGGGGGTACACACCCATTTCTGATGAGCTGTGATTAGCCGGTCCTTGTAGTGCGGCCCTTTGCGTTTGTGCATCAGGAGAAGGAGACAGATCCAGGCTCCTGTCACAGCAGAGAGAGGGTGGGGGGTTGAGTTCAGCGATGGCTGGTGCTACAGAGCGAGGCAGCCGGGTGCTGATGGTGGGTGTTACACCAGCAGAGAAACCTCACTCTTCCACTCCCTTTTCATTCTGTGTGTGTGTGTGTGTGTGTGTGTGTGTGTGTATGTGTGTGAGAAGGGGGGGAGGGTGTGTGTGTGTGTAGAGAGACAGTCTGAAACGCCTGCCTTCCAGTTTTCATTGTTGCAGTCAGGGGTGTGTTTTGCTCGGCTGTGGGAGACCAGGCAGCCTTTTGTCTGATCTCCTCAGCTATGTTGCACCTAATTTGTGTTTTTTGTTCAAAAATCATTCATATTCTTAATTTGAGTCCATTTTTATGCTATTACTCCTTCCATAGAGCCATGAAAATAAGCTAGAGTTCCCTGTGATATTTCTTTCATAACTGGAGCCATTAAAATTTACCATCCCCCTTTGAGAAAGGAAACAAAAGAAATAAAGTATTCTGTTTAAAATCATGGATGTCACAATACAGAGCGGGCCAAAATATATGTATTCACAGCCAAAACCATGAATAAATCATTCAACATTCAGTCATTTATCCCAACAAGAGATACTGATCTCATGATGTCTAGATGCTCAATTGTAAAATAGACCAGTGACAGTGAAGATATACTTGGGTTCTGGTTTATGTAACAACAATACAAGACTGCACAATATATTGAAAATTTATTATATTTGCAATGTCTGTAATGCAAAGTATTGCAATACATTTCAGATCCAAACCAGAAAATAGGTTTGACAATAAGATGGTTATCCACTAGCTTAGCTGAAATGCTAACGGTAAATGCTAAAACATGACTAAGTAGTGTTGTGAGTGTTGTCATGGCAATAGGAAAAGAAAGAAGTGAGAGGAAAAAAAATGGGTTTGTCACAACCGATCATGTCATCGTCCACAATACAACTGCAGTTGCTTGTTTTCCTTAACAACAGATGTGACTTTTACTTTCTGAACTCAAATTTTGCATCTGAATGTTCAGAGTATAAAGTATGGAAATGATTTGCTGAACAGCTGTACTGAAGCATGTCTCAACTTTTTGATGTTTAATTCATTCTTCATTCGGTTACCTGCATGTCCCATTGTTTTAGGAGAGAGTTGAACAGAAAACAGTTTTATTTGGAAGGATAACTGTCCCAAGGAAAAAATGCACTAATTTACTGTATATTTTACTGCACAAAACACGTACCCCATAATTAGTTTATGTTTAATCAAAACATCTCTCTATATATGCTAGAACAGGGCTATCCAACTGGCGGCCCGCGAGCCATTTCCGGCCTGCGGGTGACCAATCCAGCCCACTTCATAAAAGAAAAAAAACAATTTGGGGTGGGGGGCGTTTCTGGGTTTGGGTTTTGGGTTCAAGTTCAAATCTATTGTCATTTCACCATATGTGGTACATGAGGTGGAACTAAATTGTCTATACACGGTCCCGGTTACATCCAACAGCAAAAATATAAAGTGTCAAAAGAAACAGTAAATAAGGATCTAAGATTATAAATCTAAGAATATTATTTTTATTTACATTATATTGTTATAAGATCTAAGAATATTATTCACCAGGTTGCAATTAGAATAATATTAAAATATATATTATTATGTTAAACAGTGTAGGCTATGTCAAAAAATGTAAGTTGATGTGGTTTTGTTCTTGCGGTCCTATGATCTGATTCAGGGCTTAATTTGTAAACCGATTGATGCAGGAACACAAATCGCAGGTGTGCTGTCTGGTGGTGGGGGGTCCTCCCCCAGGAAATTTTGAATAAAGTAGATTAAATTTCCTGCATTTGGGTGTATTTGAACGGGTTGTTTAACATCCTACATTTACCTAAATTTATAAACACTCCACTTCTGTCAAGCACCGAGCCTGACTCTGTCCCTGCTCGTTGTTGTCTGACTCCACATGTGAACCTCCAGGCGCTTGCCTGCGGCTTCCTGTGAGCTTCTGCCTGTGTATGACTGCCTGGTAAGCTCTGCACTCACCACCACCACTCTTTTAGGGGCGGAGCTTTATTTAAGGGTAGACACGGAAATGCTACTTGAAGAGGCAGATTGTATGCTTGTGGCGGTTATGTTTAAAATGAGTGTTTATGTAATTATTTTCAGGTTACATATTCAATATAAGTTTTATTCATTCAAGGCAGTCATATTTGTTCATAACTTTATTATTAGTAAGCCTGAGAGTTACCAGATGTGAGCAGTTAGCAGGAACGCACCCTGTCAAAATAAGAGAGTTCCCGGATCCTTTTTCCAGCAGGATCCGGCTCAAATTAAGCACTGACCTGATTTACAATAATTTCATTAAAAAATCCTAATTTTTAGCAATAAAGAGCACTTTTATTAGCAATGTTTTGATTTTGAAATTAAATTGGCTTTTTTTTTCCCAACCAATATATTTCATGCATCGTATTGTTTAGATAACAGAGTTGTATTTCGTCAGTGCAAGGCTTGCTTATTTCAGCAAGACAAAGCCAAACCACATTCTGAACGTGGTACAAAACTGTGGCTGTGGTGAAAAATCTGGAGTGTACTTTTGAGACCTGTCACAATTTCAAGAGGAAAAAAAAAAAAGTGAACTGTCAACAAAGAATATGAAAACAATTCACTGTCAAAACTGTAGAAATCAATTTTCTCCATTGCAAAGTGTATAACTTAGACACAACTACACAGCCTAGCAATTCTGTTTTTCAAGTTCTTGTGAAGTTTGTTGCTGGAATCTTGGTAATAATAATAAAAAAAAATCTTTAAAAAAATATAACAAGTTCCAAATGTTGTTTTTAATATCACATAATAATCAACCATATGGACATTTCACATCATTAAAACATCAAATACGAAAGGTTTTAGAGCAGAAACATACTCAATATCCCTCCACTTTGGCCCTGAGAGTTAACAACCTGTTCCTGCTGTGTCCACCAGTACTCCCCAGCCAAACCTTCCGTCTTTCTTTCCTCATCTGTCCGTCCTGTTCCAGCTGTTTTCATCTGTCAGCTCTCTGCCAAAGTGGCTCTGTCAGATTTCTAGGTGTGGCTCCTCTCCCCTCTTGTTGCCAATCCCAGCCGTCTGAGTGTTGTTCCAGGCTGGTGCATGTCGTTAGTAATCCCCTCCAGCTGGAATGAGCATCTGTGGGCATGAACCAGACCCAGCAGACAGCCTCTGTGCCCAAGGACTGAAACCCATTCTCCCTGTTGGTGCACCACAAAAACAGATCATGCCCTCGCAGTGCAGGCTGCAGCTAAGTGGGCTCGGGGGCAAGCAAAATGTTCCTTGACCACCCAGAAGTTGCAGTGCAACGCATTGTGGCCATGGATATACAGTTACAGGAGAAAAATGCAGACGATCTTTGGCTGGTTTTGAGATTGCACATATGCATACAATCAGTCAGATAGAGTTTTCCCAGGCTTCTGAACTGAGTGACTTCAGATTTTAGCTCGTCTGGCTCGGTACAGATAAGGTTTATTTGAATCGCCATGGTTACAAGGTTACACTACACCCGTCTATCTGAAGATCAACATTCCAGACAGGCAGGATCTCTCTGACCGTGGCTGGCAGGGGGGACCTTAGCAATTAATTCAAACAGATAAGTCTTGTTTTCAGCTTTCCAGAATGTTAAAAAAAAATCTGCAGTTTGGGGTAAAGCGTAAATATTTTTGATTGCTAGGCAACAGGCTGCAGCAAAGGCACTGGTGCACATTCAAGATGACTTCCCTCTTCCACTGGTCCCAGCCCGCCTCGCCACAGCTCCCTCCACCCATACAGGGGTCTCACTCACAGCTAATGGAGGTCTCCTTTCATTTCCTCCCAGCCCCACTGACCTGTTTTGTGGCTGTGGAGTTTTCCAGGACCTTTCCCTGCTAATTAACCACAGCAGAGTGACCATTTAGTTGCTTGCATCGCATTTTATGAGCGTTTTCCTGTCCTGTCTGGTGAAAGTGGAAAAACACTGTCAGTATTAACATAGTAACAGAAGAACAACATCCTGCCGTCTATTTTTGATATCTGCCGGACTATGTAACAGAAAATGACAGTTTCCTGTGCAGTGACAGCACATTATTTTAGGAGCTTTGTTTTCTTTAGAGCTGAACAGGATTTTTCATTCTATTCAACTTTTAATCTTCTTTGGTGCCAGAAA